TACACTGCGCCACCTAGCTGCCCCCTCTCCTCAATCTTAATATCTTGCCTCTGAGATTATTTCCAATTTGTTATTTATATCTTATTTATATATAACATAATTGTTTGCATCTTACCTCCCACATTAGACTATAATTTCCCTGAGATCACAGGGATTGCTGTTTGCCTTTTTTCATATTCCCAGTGCTTACTATAATGCCTGGCACATAGTAGGTGCTTATCATTGTTGTTCAGTCATTTTAGCCATGTCCAACTCTTCATGACCCCATTTGCAGTTTTCTTGGCACAGATAACTGGAATGGTTTGCAATTTCCTTCTCCTGTTCATTTTGCAGATGAGGAAACTGAGGCAAATAGGGTTAAGTGACTTGCCCGGGGTAACACAGCTCATAAGTGTCTGAGGCCAGATTTGAACTCAAGAAGAGGAGTCTTCCTGACTCTAGGCCCAGTGCTCTATGGGGCCACCCAGCTGCCAGAATAAGTACTTAATAAATGCTTATTGACTAACTTGACTATTTATAATCTGCACAATAAGCATTCTTCATCCATTTGTTTTTTCCTGCATGGATAAGGAAACTAAACTATTTCAAGTCATCATGAATCTCTTTTGGGAGGCTTTGCAGTGTTCCAGGATTTGACCCAATGAGCATAAAATATCACCTGCAAACAGGAGCACCTGGAATTCTTCCCCATCTAAATCACTATGTTTGCACATGATGATGAAACAGAGTATTTACTGTCCTTGATTTGAGTCCTCCTGAGTCCAAGTGACAGTTTCATAGAACCTCCAAATATGAGAGTTGAAGGGTCACTCAGATATCATTAAAGCAATCAACACACATTTATTTAACTGACAACCAGGCACTCTGCTAGGCCCTGGGGAAGGCAAAAATAAAGCGGTTCCTGCCTTCAAGGAGTTCGCAATTTATCGTGGGAAACAAAACATACACATACAAAACAAATGTGGGGTAAATTGAGGGAGAGAAGTGCTAACAACTTACTGGGGTCAGGGATCAGGAAGGGCCTTAGGTAACAGGTGGCCTTTGAGCTGAGCTTTGAAGAAAACTAGAAAGTCTAAGGCAGGGGTGAGAGGCACAAAGAGGCAGAAAGTATAGGAAAGCCAACGTGAGGAGGAAGAGATGGGAGAATGAATTCTGTGTATGAGGAACACCAAGGAGGCTGGTTTGACGGGATCATGGATCACATGAAGGAGAAGAATAGATGATAAGCCTGTGAAGATAGGTTGGGGCTATGTTGAGAAAAGCTTTAAATGACAAATGAACATTTGTATATGGCCCTAGAGGTAAAAGGGAGCCAATGAAAGAATTTATCAGAAAGTGACATGGTCAGACCCATGACTTAGGAGAACACTTTGGCAGCCATGTGGAGGATGAATTAATTGGTGAGGGGAGAACCTTGAAGTAGGGACACTAATTAGAAGGCTACCAAGATAGTGTAGGTAAGGACGAATTAACAAAGGGACTAATAATAAATGTTTGTTATTTAGAAAAAAATTAAACACTTATCTTGGGCACTGGGGGAAGATACAAAGTTTAGATGAGACATTGTCTCTGCCCTCGTGAATCTTATAGTCTAGTAGCAATACAAGTAGCTGTAATAAACAGTATCACACAAGTTTATTGGAGGGCAAAACTAAGTACTAGGTGAGATTGGAGACGGAGGAAAGTCCTTGTTTACTCATGTATCAATTCACTCTACAAGGTTCCTGACAAGTAGTCATTCTTTCTTTCCTTAGATATGCAGGTGTGGCCTGGGCCAGAGCCAGGGGAAAAGAGAGAGCCCTGGCTCAGGTGCTCAGGAGGAAGAGACAAAGCCTATAGCAATCTGGCTTCCTTTTGAAAGTGCCAGGATACGTTATCTCCAGTATTGCTAAACCTCAGACTCTTTGTTGCCCTGTGACCTAGAACTACCTTTCTTTCTTTTTCTTTCTTTCTTTCTTTCTTTCTTTCTTT